GAGAAGTACTACATTGTCTGCAAAAACTAACACCATGGTATAGCCAAACTGAGATGACTCATGTTTCATAATGCATCTCTGTATACAGTTCAGTATGAGTTTCTTTATGAAGACAAACTCCACCACACACTGTCATACTCATGAAGGCTGCTATAAAGATGAGGATGTGACGAACATGCTTGTGTTTAACACTGCAGGTTAACAGTGGCCAGTCAAAGAGCACTTAAGAGCTCCCTGGGAGTCTTTAGTCATGCACACAGAAAAAAACAAAAGTCCAATCACAGAGATCCTACTTCTGTCGTCTCGTCAGCGTGCCAGAACAGCAGCTCCACACTCGGCCACATTAGCCCTTCACATTAAGAGCTCATGAATGCATTTACATCTCTGGGATCATTAACCAAAGGATTCGCTCCACTGCATTCACATCACCTCTTTTTTATTTTTATCAGCATGTCCAGCATCACTCTTGATATCGGCATAGTCATCATAACCACTATCATCATCATTTTAGTACTATTTTTTATTTTTTGTGTGTACGTCTTCTGTTTACTTTTATTTTCAACTGGCTTCATTGTTTATGACGACTCTGCCTTAAACAACATCAAATAAACTTTAGCTCATTATTGTTCACATTACCGATGCATGACTCTTCTAACACCTACCATATACTGACCTTTGCTGATGATGCCACAGTCATTGGCCTGATCAGCACTGAGGATTAGAGAGCATACATAAATAAGGTGGAGCAGTTGACAGCCTGGTGGACAACGAACAACCTCACTGTGAACAGAGACAAAACTAATGAGATTATCATGGAGTTCTTCCACAGCTGACCTTTAGTGGTAGGGAGGGTAAAGTGCACTAAGTTTTGGGGAATGCATCCATTGTGTAGAAGGCAAAATTCTCTCCACCTTCTTCATAAATTGACCCACTCGAGCACTAACAGTGTTTTAGAGAGGAACCATTGAAAGCCTATTTACATACAGCATCACTTCATGGCTTGAAAACAGCAGGAAAGAGACAAACAGAACAGGATTGTGAAAAAGCCTTGCTTCCATCTCTGTCTGATGTCTACAACCAGTACTGCATTATCAGAGGTTGCATCATCATAAATGATGCCTCCCATCATTCTCACAGCCTGTTCTCACTCCTGCAGTCAGGGATAAGGTAAGCATTTGCATCAGGACCACAAGAGTGGCAAATAACATCTTCCCCACCATAATCAGACTACTAAACTAAAACATGTGACTCTGATTTCTGGACATAAACTTTCTATTATGCAGAAGATTTTATTCTGCATTTTATTCTACACTGTCTTTAATTAGACACAGTTATTGTAGTTATTAATGTTCATATGGCACTTATATGTTACATTAAATGCTTATTTGCCTAGAGCAAGCAGAAATGTTATTTTATTTTTATGCATAAAAAGAAATTGACGAATAAAGTAAAGCTCAGTTCAAATAGGTGTTGGCTGCAAAGTGAGTGCTGACTATAGTTAATGGTGTTATATAACCATAGCACCATTAACTTTCTGACTGGTCCCATACAAGCTTAAATTTCACTTTGCAATTGTGTCAAATTACCCAAGGAAACTAAATCTGGTCCCAAACAAGGAAGTGGATATTTTGTTTTACTGGGAACTATTAGTAGCTTTTCTGTGGGTAGAGTGTGGAAACTGAAAAATGAAGCTGAATAAAAACTGTATTCTTTCTAATGGCCAACAGGAGGTGACTCATATCCTTGATTTATGATCTCATTAACCACTTTTCTGATGAATTTATGGTCCCAATTGCGCGGCAGATTAACAACCTGTCCTCTTGCCCCGCGACAGCTGGGTTTGGAAGAGGCTGGATGGGCAGTAAACCATGTTTTTTGTCAAGGTTGGCCTAACTTGTGTGAGTGTGCAGTTTCCTTCGGTTTCTAATAGTCCACCGCTCTTTCCACCAAAATGATGTTGGACAAAATGCTGAGCTCACAGATCACTAACCAGCGTCTGATGTCACAGTGGCTACATCCCCCTTTTATATAAACCGCCACTAAGTCTGATGTTATTAGCCATTTCTGGGTCCAAACTCTTCTTCTGTTCCCAGACTCAAGCAAACACTGTGCATCGATGTGTCATGTACTATGTACTTGTACTAACCCCCACTTCAACATCCTGTCCCAGAATAGACACAGGCCATGTAGCTGTCGTCTTGCTTCTAAATTTGACCGCCATCTCTCCAGATGGCGTTCAAATATGGAGCAACCCTGGAGGTCCCTCTCCAGGGTCTGCTTCTGTCCATTGAGCCTCTCTAATAGCTAACTCGATCTCCCAGGTCAGGGCCCCAATTACACAGGTGGGCGGTAGAATGGGAGAGTCCCGAGTTGCGTCTTCAGAGGTGGCGAATTGGCGTGAGAGGGCGTCTGGCTTGACATTACGGGAACTGGGTCTGTAAGTGATTGTGAACTGGAAACTAGGAAAAAACAGGGCCCACCTGGCTTGCCTGGCGTTGAGGCACTTTGCCGATCAAATGTACTCCAGGTTCTTGTGATCGGTCCAGACCACAAACGGCTGGGCAGCGCCCTCCAGCCAATGGCGCCACTCCTCCAGAGCTAGCTTGATGGCTAGTAGCTCTCGGTCTCCCACATCATAGTTGCTCTCTGCAGAGGTGAGACGGCGTGAAAAGTAGGCACAAGGGTGAAGCTTATCACCTTGCTGCTGGGAAAGCACCGGCCCCACTCCAGCGTCCGAGGCGTCCACCTCTACAACGAACTGCAGGTTGAGGTCGGGTTGGACGAGAATGGGCACCGAGGCAAAGCGGTCCTTCAGATGAGCGAATTCTTGTTGAGCACGGTTCATCCCAGCAGAAGGGAACCTTGGGAGAAGTAAGACGGGTCAGAGGCAGGGCAAGTTTACTGTAGTCACGAATAAAGCGACGATAGAAGTTCGCGAACCCCAGAAAGCTTTGTAGCTGTTTATGGTTAGAGGGGGTCGGCCAGTCAACAGCGGCTTGAACCTTCGCGGGATCAGTCGATGATGTGGCCCAGGAAGGAAACAGTTGAGATATGAAACTCACACTTCTCCCATTTAACAAAGAGACGATTCTCAAGGAGACACTGAAGGACTTGCCTGACATGGCGTATGTGTTCTGTGACAGAGCGGGAGAAGGTGAGGATGTCATCCAAGTAGACAAAAACGAAGTGGTCAATGAAATCCCGGAGAACGTCGTTCAGCCTGAAACACAGCTGGTGCATTGGTGAGACCAAAAGGCATTACAAGATATTCGAAATGGCCCAGGTGAGTATTGAAAGCCGTTTTCCACTCATCCCCCTCCCTTATTCTCACCAGATGGTAGGCGTTGCGCAGGTCCAGCTTTGAGAAGATAGTGGCCCCCTGGAGAAGCTCGAACGCGGAACTCAGCAGCGGGAGGGGATACTTGTATTTAACTGTGATGGCATTGAGGCCACGATAGTTGATACAGGGCAACTCTTGTCCTTCTTACTGACAAAAAAGAAACCGGCTGCAGCAGATGTGGACGAGGGACGAATGAGACACGCGGCAAGGGATTCGTTGATGTATCCCTCCATGCTCTCACGCTCAGGTTGGGACAGGCTCTACAACCTACTGGTCGGGAGTGGTGCGCCTGGGAGGAGGTCAATCCCACAGTCGTACGGCCGGTGGGTTAAAGGAGTGTGCCTTATCCTTACAAAACACCAGTGCCAGGTCGTAATAAACAGACGGCATGGAGGACAGATCTGACGGTTCTGAGATCGCTGAATTGATTGGTGGGTTCATGGCGGGGGTGGCGGCTTTTAAACAGGGCAGTGTAACTGTATGACTTCAGAGAAACAGAGCGTGCTGATCAGCGTGCAGCTGATCCGCCTGGCCGTGACAAATAGTTTTTCCTTATACTTAGTCTAGTTTTACTCTTTGAGCTTTGTGTTTCCTTGGATTTTGCATTCCTGACAATAGAGGCTACTTTCATTAAAGAGACATTAAGAATAACCAAACTAAATGTAGACGTCAGAATGAAGACACGTTTTTCTGTTATCGTCTTAGTGTTTTTAAGAAACAGGGCAGCTGCTGAAGCCTTTTCTGCCAGGTTGCCTGGGCGGATCACCTCCTCTCTGAACTACAACTGGGCTTCTGATAAGAGATCTTTTAATATTACTCCCGACTTCAATATCAGAGGATTGCAAGGTTGCCAGGCAGGGATATTGAGCGAAAGCTAAGAGTTTCTCCCTTTCGGCTTGGCCCGGAATCAAAACTTATTAGATAGATAAATGAGAGCTGGACTTGTGCCGGAGCGGGCCTCTTTCTGTGCCTGTGTGTCATTTATTCGTCCCCCGAATAAAGGCTCCATCAGATAGTGGGTAGCCTTTCATGGCGGCCTCCATCTCTCTGCATCTGTTGACCCACTGGGGCACAGTCGGGATAATTTGGGCTGCTTTGGCGGCTCTGAAACAGCACTTTCTCTTTGAAACAGCTTTTGTTAATTTTGTTCTTTCTTACCAGATAAACCTCAGATTTAGAGGTCAGGAAGCATATATGTGGTTCTTCTACTATATTGGGCATTTTGTTATCTTATTTATCAAAGCAAAGAAGCCTTAAAAACCCTTTTTATAAAGCATTTCTTTGTTATATGAGGCTTTACAGCAAAATAGGAGGCTTACTTTTTTATCGTACATGGTTGGATGATGTGAGTGGTATTTATAGCATTGTAAGAATTAAATATTGCTTCTACACAGTAGAGCGTCTGTCATTGTCTATCAGAATTAAGCTCAGGTCCTTGAAAAAAGCATTTCCTTGACTAGTTTCCTGTAACCATGGTAATAGGAAGTCCTCTCCAATCACGTTTTTGTACTGTATGTCAGGGAAGTGAACAGCTTCCTGCTGTTTTCACTGGCTTCCTCTCCACTGGTGTGAACTCAGGATTCCGCATTAGGTCCTGGAAAGCTGTGCAGCTTTTAACCACAGCTCTTGTTGTGACCAGTTTTTTTCTGTTTTCTGCATTTTCTAATGAATTTGCCCTCAACGCAGTCACATTTGAATGACGTAAGTTTAAACTTTCTTGTAAAAATTTAGACCAAACAGGAGTTTAGGCAGTGGCAGTTTCAAGATTTCATTTTTATTTCTTATGTTTTCAATACTTTTCAGGTGATTACTCGAGTGAACAAAACCAGTGAGATCAATTAATTTCTCTAATAATGTGATTTTGAAGCTTTATCTAAATTTATTTTGATATCACTGCTCAGTGGGACACGAGAGCTGCATGTATAAAATCAGCTGTCAGCTCTGACTTTAAAAATCTTTTAAAGATTTGCTAACTTTGCCCTAAAGTAAGGTTTTAAAAGTCATACTTAAAGCACCTTCATCTTTGCTGTTGTGTGATTCTGCATTCGGGATTCTTCATTGACATGTCTCGTCTCTTCTACACTCTCTGGCTATTTTGTTAGCTACGTCTTGCTAGTTCTAGCTGGGCTCCCTTTGATCTTCACTACTACATTAGTTCACATAGATTCAACAAGATGCTGGAAACATTCCCCAGAGATTTTTGTCCATATTGACATTATAGCATTAAACAGTTACTGCGGATTTGTCGGCTGCACATCCATGATGCAAATTTCCTGTTTTTCCACATTCCAAAGGTGCTCTCACCAGAATCAGATCTGTTGACTTTGGAGGTAACAGTGAATTGCTTGCCACATTCAATAAACGAGTTAAGATTATTTGAGACATGATGTATTATAATGGCAGAACTGTGGTCATAAAGGGGTGGACATGGTCAACAACAATACTCAGGTAGGCTGTTGTGTATAAACAGCACTCACTTGGTTGTAACGAGTGGTTATTTCAGTTACTGTTGCCATCGAATCAACTCCAAGCAGTCTGGCTATTCTCCTCTGACCTCTTCTAGCATCAACAAGATATTTTCACACAGAGAAAATGCTGCTCACTGGATATTTTCTCTCTGTAAAGCCCAGAAATGATTGTGTGGGAAAATTCCAGTAGCTCAGCAGTTTCTGAAATACTCAGCCCAGCCTGTTTGGCACCAACAACCATGCCATGTTCAGTGTCACTTAAATCACCTTTCTTCCCCATTCTGATACCCAGTTTGAACTTCAGTCGATCATCTTAACCATGTGTTTTTGACTAACTGTATTAGGTTGCTGCTGTGTGATTGGCTGATTGCTGCTGTTAAAGTGGTCAATGGGCATAATGTTTCTGATATAACATATTAAATATACTATATTAAACATGGTCTGTGTTAGTTTTAGATTGTTTTTTTAAACTCTTGAATCTTTAGGAATCAATAGAGATGGGATAAGCAAGACAAGCACAGAGATATGTTGGCAACTGCCTGGTAATCACTGGTTGTTTAGATACCCACCACTATAAAGTCTGTGTTTGGGTTACTGTGGTTATAGTCTGTTGGGTTCACAGTAAGTGAGTGGATGTCTTTTGTCCAACCTCTTATTTAGACATCTTCCTCTCACAAACCTAATGGATTCTTTCCAGTGATAAGGCAGTGTTATACATGTGGGGAAAAAAACTGTAGAGGGAATATTCTGCCATTGTCTGCAGTGAGAGTGAAAACATCTTAGAATAACAGTGAACTACATAAAAGATAACAAAAGCATATCAGACAGAACAGGCATACAGAGAAAGTTTATTTTATATTTCAGAGAGACTAAAAACCACTTCCTGGGGAGTCACGAACACACTTGCGAGAAAGAAATGGAGAACTGATTTACATCAAGCTGCACTCCATTACTCCTCCTCACTGGATCAAACTGGCAGCGATGCAGCTTGGTCATCCAGTCACCATCAGCACTTCTCTCCAAATCCCTCCCCAACCTCAGAGTCTGATATCCAGGAGCCGACACCCATTCCTGCTGGACTCCATCCAGCCCGTGTTGGTCAGGGCTATCATCAATCCAAAACGGGGGATGGAGGAACCTCTCCAGCCGCAGACTCCACAAAGCCCCAGTAACTGCAGCTCATCGGGACCTGGTGGGAAATCCTGCTGGAGTTTAGACCTGAGGGTGGCTATTCTTCTGCTTACTCTGGCAGGAGCAGTAATCCTCCTGCTGCTGTACAGACTGTTACAGCTGAGACACAGGTGTGTACATGTGTAATAACATGTAGCCAAAAGGTAAATTGATGTCAGGCTTGTTTGGTAAGTCATCTGTGTGCGTCTTGACCCAACTCAGTTTGGCCTCAGAAATGGGATCCGAGTTTTACCACTATATTTATTTGGTGTTATGTTTTCTTCAGGCTGAGGATGGCCAGAGCGAGGCATGCTTTGGAGTACACCAGCTTCTACCACAGTGGCACCTACACACTCAAACACCCCACACCTTGTCAGGAGCTGCCAGAGAAGAACAGGGCAGTACCTGAAGACACTGCACCACTCCAAACCATAACCTCAATGACACCTGCTGTCATCACCCCAGTGCCACCTCCATCGCTGCCCTCACCGGCACCCCCTCCACTGCCACTCCCCCCACCTCCTGTCCTACCACGTCCACCTCTTCACCCTCCAGTTTCTCTCCCTCCAACACCCCCTGTCCTGTCACTCCCTCTTCCCGTGCCTGTCATCCACACCACCCCGCCCAGCCCTCACCTGTCATGGGGTGCCTGCTCAGATGCAGATGTTTATTCTCGGATTGGGACTTTCAGGCCATCCAGGCTTTCCAACCTCTCCAACCAGTCGACGGTCATCCTGTTTGAACACTCATCTGTTTGAACTCTCACAGAATGTGTGTGATCTCCTCAAGGAGTCTGTGACTGTGACAAGGATTACAAGATGTTTCCTGTACTCTATGTTTGTGTGTGTAATATACAGCAAAATATAAGAGGTTAACGTTTCAAAACTTTAAAACATGAAGTTTGCACTTTGTCAGCCACTGAAGGGCTTTATTGACAAAAAAAAAAGAAAGAAAAAAGCAGATGCAATAAAATTGCAATTTAATTAAAAACACCTCTATTATAACCATGTTTTTTTTTCTTAACTGGATTGTGACGTCAGGAGGACAGATGAAACCCTCCACTTGTCCAAGAAGCAAGACTAAAAAACTACCAATAGCAGATGAACAGTATGTAAAACAGGGCTTATGAATACATTGACTTTTTGGTGGAGGATTTCAAGAGCGAGGTACAACAGTGAACATCTACAGTCATCTGTAAAACATGGCAGAAGGTTGCATTTCAGTCAGTGGTGTCAGGGAATGTGTTAAAGTTGATGTGAATGCAAAAAAAGCACAGCCAGATCCACCAATCAGAACCATTTGGAAGCATCTGATTGACAACAGCTTCATTTCTCAGCATGACAGGGATCCCATGAAAAGAAAAAATTAAGAATTTGAAAATTCATGGATTAGAATGAGTGTAGGCAGCACGGTGGCACGGTGGTTAGCACTGTTGCCGCACAGCAAGAAGGTCCTGAGTTCAATTCCACCACCAGGCCGGGGTCTTTCTGTGTGGAGTTTGCATGTTCTCCCCGTGTTTGCGTGGGTTCCCTCCAGGTACTCCGGCTTCCTCCCACCGTCCAAAGACATGCAGCTTGTGGGGATAGGTTAATTGGATAATCCAAATTGCCACTAGGTGTGAATGTGAGTGTGAATGGTTGTCTGTCCCTGTGTGTTGGCCCCGCGACAGACTGGCGACCTGTCCAGGGTGTACCCCACCTCTCGCCCTATGACAACTGGGATAGGCTCCAGCGCCCCCCGTGACCCTGAAAAGGAGAAGCGAAAGTGAATGGATGGATGGATATAATGATTGTATTTTAGAGTTTAAAATAGTTTGATCAAAGACCTTTCAATCCTGGTGGATTAACCATTACAGAAACATAAAAAATAAATAAATAAGTTACCTATGCTGTTAATTTAGGGCAGATATGGCATAACGCTTGCATTTTGTGGTGTCCTCATAAGTTTGTTAAGGACTGTATAACGAGTCCATCACCAGGTAGTTAGTAACACATTTTTGTGTTTTCGTTGTGTGACCACATTCAGGTGTGAATAAGAAATTCTGCATTACATACTTCATCGTGCAGATTGAGAAAATACACACCCTGTTATTTGTCTTAAAATATTGTAATATAAAAAATAATAATAATAACGACATGATCCCTAGTCCCTTTAGCTATCTAGTGATCACCTAATGATTAACTCACTATTACTTTCTGCCTCTTTCTGTGGCTCCTTAATGAGCATCATAACTTACAAAATGATCATTTTGTTTTCTTTAAAACTCGACGACAGTGTTTAGGAAAATGTTCACTACCATCATAAATCAAGAGACCTGTAGCTTCATTTTCTCATATTCTCCTGTACATTCTGATGTTTAATGGCCTCCTGAGTTAGAAATATGGGATTAATGTCAATGCCATCCTTCCAGCCCTCTCACCTGGATGCTGTTAGTCTCCTAAAACGAGACTGTTATCTCTTAGTGGCTAATACTGCTTAATCCTTCCATGAAAAATGGGGATTCAAGTAAACAGTGCATGTATCATCAAATTTTAAGAGGAACTTTAACTAATGATAGAAGTCATGTATATGTATAACCATGTATAATTTCTGCTGCATGAAGTAGTTCTGAAGTTTGAAGGATTCTTAAAGTGGATATGCAACATTTCAAAATGAAGAACTTTGATTAATATTCAACACATCCAGAAAACAAACACATTCATATTCATCCTTGCCTGACATTTCCTCATTTTATTTAATTGCCTCTGCTGTATATTGTTACAAATGTCTTTCCTCCTCAGCTTACAACCACTTACGAGACATTGCAGAAGCGCATGCACATATTGAATTAACTGGCTTTTAGAATGGAGACCGTGACCCCACGAGCAGACTTGTATGCAGAAATGACTAAAGATACAAGGTACACAAGGTCGCGGTTTTCACCCCAGCAGGCAGAGAGCAACAAACAACCATCAACTAAAACAGCTTCCCTTTACAAACTAATGTTGAATTATAAATGAGAGGTTGGTTGGAAAAAACATATTGAAATATTGAAGAAAAATTCACCTTGTTAATGTGGCCACTAAGATCACCATAGAAACAAGATGTTAGATGCCAGACGTTGCCCTTGTGCCAATGGGGCTTTTTAATATGTGCTAACTTCATCCACTGGGGAAGAGCACTAATGAAATAGTTAAGAGTTGAGCGATTGCATTGTTAAACATACGGTTTAATAATCATGTTTGAATTTTTTGCTGTTAAAGGCTTATATTACTAAATGAAGCAAAAGCTTATGATACAGAAAGAGACGGGGGGGCATGAATGCAAAGAATGGTGTGAAACAGGGAGGGACGCTGCCATGAAAACCCAGCTCAGGAAATACCTCCCAACTGAGGAAACAATGAGCTCTGCTACTGCAACAATTCAGTAAAAATGGTTAAGATAAACAGGTTAGGAGCGCTACGTTTCCAATCGGGCAGTAGTTTATTTATTACAAACCACTTGAGTTTTGCATTGTGGAGGACACCCTGAAGTAATTAAGTGCATGTTGTTATTCATGCAAAGTAAGAAAATATGTCAAAAGTTGTCAGTATTCCAGTTATCAGCATAAAAACTAGACTAAAAATGAGTGAAAAGAACATAATTGTTCTTTTCAAACTGGTCAATCTACCTGTAACTTAGCTGCACAAATCTAGTGATACCTCAAATCTCAGCACAGGGAAATTTGATTAATGAGGCAAACTGACCTCTACAGGCAATATTTGATGCTGGTGTGTTTTGTTGCTTACAGTGAATTTCCTGTTTGGCCAGATAAAGCTTTCTGCTTAGCCAGCATTAGCTTAAGTAATAAAGTGGACAACTTGGCATTCATTGTAGCAGCTAGCTGGCTAACATTATCTCTAGAAAAATGCTGTCTCTAGCCACAACAATCTTCATTGTCTTTAGTTAGTGATCAATGGACTCCATAAGCTATCATAAACTAGTGCTGCTCAATGATGAAAATGCAAACAGAGGTGATTTTCTTAAAAAAAAACGAAAAAAAAACTAGGGAACAAATAAAAAACAAGCAAGCAAACAAAAATAGCTAAGAGGCTGTTAGAGGAAACTGTATGTCAGTGTGATACAAGCCAATTTAAATGCTCCCATTTTCATATTAACATTCACATCAGAGTTATTAGTAGTGAAATACTGAAGTACTCCTATTCGTTAAGTTAATCACTGAATAGCATATTGCTTGTGCTAAGAATCACTGGATTAAAAGCATATAAACTATTAGGAGGAATAGATCGATTTTAATTACATGTACACCGATCAGCTCAGCAGCCACAACTGATCCCTAGAAGGTCAGCTGAATTGATTATTGCTACACTGGATTTAAGGGAACCTTATGAGATTAGGTAAGATCACAATCTTATTTCCTGCAAGAATTTCTTTCCCAAAAGGTAACACGGGTAGCACAAGTGCATGTTCTTCTGCAAGGCGGCATATTTTGTAGAAATATGTGACTATATAGCTAATGAATGTTGTCTCTTGGTGTTTTTTTTTTTTTTTTGACAAGAAATGTTTAGATAGAAAGAAAGATAGTTAATGAATATAATTCATACAGACTGTCATGGGCTTTTGACCCAACATTTTGAGTTTTGGAATGTTTTGAGTTTTCTGTGAGCTCATGAGCTCTATATCTATATCTCTATATCTAGTTCTTTCAACATAACATAACATATTGTCTATGTATCCTGTTCATGGGGTCTGTAGGTTTGCACTCCTTTTAAATAAAAAAAGAGAAAACTATTCAATATACTTCAGGTATTTATGATAATTATTATCTATAACAGTGAGTAAAAGTGTTCTAAATCTTGCTTGGCTCTGTCTGACTGGTAGGAACAGTGTTTGCAGTGCTAAATAAAATGAAATACAGTTTCTGTCCCTACTTAACTCATGTAACTGTGTATCAGATCGAGGATCATTACTTACTGTGTCATAGTCGCCATTTGCTGGAACGAGTGTGTCGACGATCACACAGTCCAGTGACCGGGTATCGATGACTTCACACATCATGCACTACAATTTTAATGCCTTGAGTTTAACAGATTGGACATCCCTATCTTGTTTTTGTAAACCAGATGGCACAAGAGAGGGTGTTCATAACTTACACTTTCATTCCGAAAGACTGCAGATGGGTTTTTAGGTCAGTACAGCTAGTTTTGATTTCTGTGCCACACAGTTTATTGAAAGTTATAAAAAATATCAAACATTAAAGACCTTATCCTTTCCTAAAAGCTGCATGCTGTGTTTTTGTTATTGCCTAAAAACAAACGTGGTGTTAAACAATGAGGAAATGCTGAAAGGTAAATCTCAGTTACCGCTGGAATCACACAGCCAAATTCCAGAGAAGATTGCTGTCAGCTGTCAGCAATAAAAACAGACTTCCACCTTCACAAAGTTTATCTGTGTCCCAAAACATCCATACAGGCAGATTTAAGAGGCAGATGGAAAATGTCATGGATTGATCCATCCTTAATAACACAGGATGAGGATGCGTGGAAATTGCTTTCCCAAGCGACATGGACAATATTGTGCTTTGAACATCGAGAGAAATTTTCCATTCCTCTGAAGGAAAACAAAAAGGCTGTGCTATGACTCTGACGTTTTCGTCTTCCTCTCATTGTTGACAAATGAACCAGAATGCATGGACAAAACTACAGTGGGAGAAATGACGACTGCTTTTTTAAAATTAGTGACTAAATGCAAAAATCTTTGTGGAATCTATTTTTCCTTTGAGTTCAGTTCATTTTTAATTTTTCCAACAGCATGTTCTTTTCTTTATAATTATCAATATTCACCATTTCAATTGATGTAGCAAAGAACTTCAGAAATCCTTAATAACTTAGTTATTTCCTATCTTATAATCACCTCATTTGGTTGATGATTAAGCTTTTCTTTAAATGAGATTTTTACTTGCCTGGGTCCACACTATAGACTGTATATTAAAGATGGAT